TACAGGGAGTCTCACTCTGTTGCCAGGCTAGAGTGGGGTGGCTCAATCTCAGCCCACTGCAACCTCCGCCTCCCGGGTTCAAGTGATTCTCCTGCCTCAGCGTCCTGAGTAGTTGGGATTACAGGCGCATGCCGCCACGCCCAGCTAATTTTTGTATTTTTAGTAGAGACAGGGTTTCACCATGTTGGCCAGGATGGTCTTGATCTTTTGACCTCGTGATCCGCCAGCCTCACCTTCCCAAAGTATTGAATTACAGATGGGAGCCACCCCACCCAGCCTAAACTTTCTAGTTAGCTGAGATCTGTCTCAGATTTTTGGGGTTCACAGCTCATGTCACCTGCTTAGCCACACAGTTCAAAATGTTGGTTTTCTTAGGTCTCTATCGGTCTTGTCTAAGCACTGTCAGTTTTTTTGAAACACCCCAGGTCTCTTCCAACTTTCTCCAGCCCCTTCCAACCTATCCTGGGCTTGAAAGCTCCTCAGTAGTCCCCATCAGCCACGGAAGACCCCTGTGGGGGTCATTCCAAGGGGCTCTGCTGCTCCTGAGGATCTGCCAGGCCCTGAGGCCCACCCTGAACAACCAGAGAGCAGGTCTATATTCTGTTGCTGCTGGTTCTGTCTTCAGTGTTGCTGTCTTCACCCTGCAGTCCCAGGACTCCACACCAGTCTTTGACCCTCTGTCCACACCTGTACCCCAATGATTATTTCTTGGGCCCTCCTTTTCTTGGCCTGATCCAAACTTTCTCTCCTTCTAACACTTCCCTTGTGTTCTTTCTGACCTTAAGAACTTTAAGGCAGAAACAAGATCTGATTAATTTGGGTCCCCCCAAATTTGAGTATAGAGCATTACACACATCAGATTAAGACTTTCATCCTCAGCCGGGTGTGGTGGTTCACACCTGTAGTCCCACCACTTTGGGAGGTTGAGGTGGGTGGATCACTTGAGGTCATGAGTTCGAGACCAGCCTGACCAACACGGTGAAACCTTATCTCTACCCAAAATACAAAAAAAATTAGCTGGGTGTGGTGGCATGCACCTGTAATCCCAGTTACTCAGGAGGCTGAGGCAGGAGAATTGCTTGAACCCAGGAGGAGGAGGTTGTAGTGAGCCGAGATTGCACCACTGTATTTGAGCCTGGGTGACAGAGCAAGACTCCAACTCAAAAAAATAAAAGACTAATTCTCAATTACCCTACATTCTATTAAATAAATGAATGATAATGGCAAGCAGTTATTACGGAAGGCATCATCATTTCTATTGAGGCCCACTCTAGTCATAATATTTAACGGCTATTATCATAATGATAAAAAGATATTAAATCTCAGCATCACTAGAGTA